TTGTAAAATTATAGGAATGGAGGGAAGTCAGAGAAGCTGGACAGCAAACTGGATACAATATTTGAGAACAAGGATTTTTAGGGTGTGGAAAAGAGTTAAGACTGAAAGTCAGAATTGCCATGTTCAGCTGAGAGCTAAGTGAGGGAAGTGATGAAGATTCTGCCCAAGCAGAAACCTGAGAAGCAGGTGAGATGGCAGGAGGTAGAGATACTGGGTTACCTGAATTAATTAGGTAGACTGTGTTTCTTCCTGGCCTAGGGCTGTTTATAACAGGCTGGCTGAGTGTGTGGCATTAAAAGTGCTGAACGTGTGGCTAAAATGAAATACTGTAGGCCATCATTAGGTTGAGTGATAGTGCTTCTGAAGAGACTCTTCCTGCCTTTACTTTTTGGCCTACCTTGCTCTCGTCTAGTGGCTCTAATTCTGTGGTTCACGTGCTGCATTCATCTCGCTGCTCTGAACAACTGATAGTTTTTAAACAGGAAATTTGAGGTCATTTGTCGAACAAACACATTCTGAAGGGAATGGAAGCTGACAAAGTCCCACAGACAACAACCAGAACACAGGGCACTGTTGCAAGTGTCCTGTGGGAACATTAACATTCTTCTTAAGTGGAGGCACCAAAATGCGCAGATCCCAAAAGATCGGTGGGAATGAATACCGTGAGTTTTCTTCAGGATGTTGCTGTTCCATAGCCCTTAAGATCACATTTTAGAGTATAATAAGTATATCAGCTCACAGAGTGGTCTACGAATGGCTTCTTATTGCTTAGAATTGCACCATAGAATCTTGCTTTAGAATATTTAGTGTGTGTGTGAGCGAGAGAAAGCACATGGAGAAATCAGTAGGAGAGACTGAATGGAATCTGGAAACCAGCACTAGAGCTTGGCTGTGTCTTGGGAGATGCACTTTCCCCAATCTCCTGGCTTTGCATCTTCTTTTGGAGCATCACGACTGCTTCCATTTCTCAGACTGATGCTCTGTGCCATATTTCTCTGCGAGTTTCCTGGCATCACAGATCAACCTTTTGTGTGTGTAATGTGTGGTCGTTAAGTGTATGAATGAACTCTGGAGCTAGACTAGCTCTGTCAGCTACTAACTTCAGCCAAGTTGTAGAAGTTTTTTGTACCTCTGTCCCCTTGAATATAAAAACAGTTATGAAGGAAATATTTACCTTTGCGGCTGTGCATAAAGAGTTCAGAATAGTGCTGGTCACTTATAAGCATGATAGGCATATTGCTAATATTATTGCTAATTGCTTTTCGCTCCTAGCTGTCTGCAAGTGCTCAAGGTTGTCTTGAAACTACAGTCTTTCAGTCTCAACTTTATAAACTGCAATTCATTGATAATGGTTCTCATTTATTCATTTGTTCATTCAACATTTTCTAAATAAATGTGGAGAGAGAGAGAGAGAGAGAGAGAGAGAGAGAGAGAAAATATAAAGGTAAAATGTTGAATGGTGGAAACTCAGCAAGGGCAGAGGTATCAGAACAGACTTCCAACTGGAATGATTCCCTCTTGAGCTGAGTCCAGACATCTGCATAGGAGTTGTCTAGGGAACAAGTGTGTGCATAGGTCAGAGTTGAGAAATGTGGTAGAGACTTTTCAGAAAGAGTAAAAGCCTGGAGGTGAGGGTTGGGTACAAGTATGGAGCGATTGGAAGATGGTGGTGAGAGATGAAGTTGAAGAGGAAAGAGAGGATGAAACTATGAGGGCCTCTGTGCTGTACTAGAGAACTTTGGACTTTATCCGCATGACCATGGGAGCTCAAAATTTTTAAATGGTAGAATGTTATGATCATATTTGTATCTAGGGAACCATTCTGTGGGCTCTATAAAGGATTTACTAGCATTGGTGAGACTAAAGAGGGGAAGCCAGTTAAGAGGCAATCACAGTAGCCCAGGAGAGAGAATGGTGACTGAAACTGTGGTAGTGAGAAAGAAATTTTATGTAAATAGAAGGATTAGAGAGAGATTAAGAATCTGCTTTTCAACTGCTGTATTATTTCTTTCTTTTTTGGTACCAGGGATTGAACTCTGGTCCTTACACTTGCAAGGCAGGCCACCAAACCACTGAGCTACATCCCCAGCTGCTGTATTATTTCAACTGCTTAGGTCTCTACAATGCTAAATAATTCAGATCTGGCTTTCTCTTCAGTGTATCTTGTCCAGTGCTTTCTGCTAACAGCTTCCTATACAACAGTGCTTTCTATGACAGCATGAGTGTGTTTCATAGGCTTGCATGACTTTCAGATGTTAAAAAAAAAGTACATGTCAAATGCTGTATTAGAAGAAATCCATTATGCAGATGATGTCTGTTTGTGATTGTTAGCTGTCACACTTTCAAACGTACAGGTGGGTCTCAGGCTTTTTGCATACAGCACTTGTCTGTGCTAGTGTCTCTGATGATACTTCAACAGCAAGGTCAGTGCTTAGCAAACATTTGCTCTTTAAAGAATCTTCTGGGAAGCCAGTTAAATAAAATATTCCTAGTCTCTGTCTGCAAGTACTGTGATTCAGAATGTGTAGGACTGAGGTCAGAATTTTCAATTTTAGTAAATGCTTTATGTGATTTGGAAACAACAGATAACCTCATTCCTGCTACATTCTTCAAGTATTATAACTTTTCTAAGTTTGATTATTTGTCATTTACCAGATAGCTGAAGTAGAACCTGAAATAAATCTGTTACAGAAAACAACTAATAAATTATTATTGCATTGTTACCTGTCACTATTTTTACAGCTTTAATCAATTTAAAATAATGAAGGTATGGAGCTTATTAGGTGAATGGCAAGATATTTGAAGACATTAGAAGTGCCCTGGCATGATGTTGAGAAATTAGAATATCCCAATTATAGGGTAAGCACGAATTGTGTCTTGCTGTGAGATGTATAGGATTATGCATATGTTAGTAGTGGAGGTGTACTCTGAGGCAGCGAGGCAGTATATTTTCTGTAGTCAGGCAACATCAACATTACTTGCGAGTTTGTTAGAAAAGCAAATTCTCAGCCCCCTCCTGACCCACTGAATCAGATCTTTGCAGGTGGGATCCAACAATCTGTGTTTAACAAGCACTCCAGGGGATTTTGACAAACATGAAAGTTTGAGAATGTGAAGTCTAGTGCACTTAGGTCTCTACATGAAGAATGTAAATTTGGGCTTTTAAAGTCTGGTGGTGTATTTTAAACTGTGGAGATGTTGTCTGGTTTATTGTGCTACATTTAAATTAATGTCCTAGAGCATGTATAAATTAGGATTTGTTTCAGCCAAAAGTGAAACAAAACAAAATTGGTTTAAAGGGTAGAAATTGATCTCTCTGTAAGGTACAAGTTTAGGTAAAGAAATCCAGCACCCCTTTGACCCTTAATGGTGTTAGAGTCACAGGCTCCTTTCATGTTGTTGCTCAGTTTTGAAAGCACTGAATTGTTAAATTCCGTGATTATGTCAGAAGGCTGCTCTGGCCGGAGCACAGACACCTACGGTCCGGTCATCAGGAAAGGAGAATGCAGAGAGGGTGCACACTTCACGGGAGATGCGCGTGTGACTTTCATTTTTATTCCTTTGGCCCAAACTAAGCAACTTTCACTTTTAGCTTTGCAGAAGGTGGGAATGTAGTCTTGACTTTGTGATGTTTTATCATTGTGAAATAAAATGGAAAAATTGGATGGACGTAACATGGTTGTTTCTGTCGATGTAGGAGTCTACACTTATCTCGAAAGTGTGTATTTCTGACATGTTCTTTTTCCATCCTCCTCCTCCTTCTGTGCCTTCTTCTTCTCTTTCTCTTTCTCCTACTTTAAGCCTTTTATTTATCCTATGTATAGCTATTTACCATACTTTCAACCTTTCCATTTCATATTTTAATCTCATTCTCTGTCTTCTCAGGATCTGGGAAAAAACAGATGCCTAATCATACAGAAGCTATAATGACCAAATGATTTTTATGGTCTATCTATTGCTATGTGAATATGGTCATAATGTTTTCATGACAAACTTGTGCTTTTCTTACATGTCTTTATTTGCCTATATATGTTATGTTTGTGAATGCATAAGAAGAATTTTCATTTCCTTACAATGTTTCTTATGGCCCATTTTCTTAGAGTTTATGAGTTGTGCCATGTCAGATAATTATTTTAAAACCTTTCAATAAAATATCAAATTTACATGATAATATCAATGACTTATTTTAGACAGCTTTAAATAATTTGCTCTTCATTTTTTCTACTTAATATTTCCTGACATTTGAACTAGACAATGGCTGAATACAAATGTTTTATGTGCTCTTTAGTGGAGACACCTACTGCAAAGTGATTATTAAAAAGGCTATGAATCATCCCTTTCTGTAAAATATGCAGTCCTTTAAACTGATTGCTATTAGCTGTTCATATTATTTTAATTAGAGGAAAACATGACTGCTGAAAATCAGCTGAAGGTTCTATAAATAAAAGTATCCATCTTACAGAGTCAAATTTTAATTAACCTTTTCACATGCTAACCTTCTACTAGAAATTTTCAGGGCTTGCAGCTATTCATTTTGCTACAAAGCGATATGGGCTATTTTTCATCTGTATGTAATGTAATTCAAATCTGAGGTGGTGGTGGGATTCCCAGAATACAAACTCAAGTGTTCCTTACCTATCACTTGAATATCTTTATGAAAATGGAAAGACAAGTGAATACAATAGAGTGTGGTGTGTTAGGTGCCTTGCACAGACAGAATAATATAATCGTGTTTTCTTTTTTCTCTCTGTCTTTTTTTTTTTTTTTTTTTTTTTTTTTTTTTTGTTTAAGACACTGTATCCTGCCCTGCTCTGAGCCTGTTAGATTTCTTAGAGGTAAACTATTGGTGATTAGAGCAATGCCAGGCTGCAATTACTTGGAATTGGCTGGTCCACTTTTTACCTCTAGTCATTATCCACATGAAAGGTGTTTTCATAAGCTATTTGTTGGAAAATCCATATTTGACATAAATAAGCATTTTCTGCTGATTGATTTTGTAGGTTACTATGACAGACTGCATCTGTGAAAGAAATGCAAGATCAAAGCACAGAGGATGGCTGGACTGTCTGAATTCACCTCAGTCCCTGGGTGCCAGAAAAATCAGTTTTGAGGAAGATGTTTCTAATTGTTATGCAGTCAATGAAAGTTATCAGGCACAACCATGGCAACCACTTTCAGAAGCTGACCTTAATAAGCAGAGGCCTGATATTAACTCAGTTTCTATGGCTATATTAAAAATAAATATTTCTTTAAGATTTACAATTCTTATACCTCTTCATGGTTATTGCAGTAATCAAGTATCAAGTACTTTAAATTTACTAAATTTACTTAAACACTAAATTACAAAGCTCTCTAGTTTTCAAATGACACCCTATGTCTACAGTAGCCGACTTAATGAGTCTAGTTTTAGTTGGAAAATATAAGCCTCTTAAATAGCCTCTGAATACACGAAACTTCACATTACTATAACCTTGCAGTACTTTCACCACTGTTTTTCTGTCTTTTGGCCATATCTCTTCATGAAACTCAGTTGCTAAAAGGAAAACCTGTACCTATATTCAAATAAATTATTGAAGCCAAGGGCTCAGTGAAAGAGTCTGGGATGTTGGATTAAAGGAAACGAGATAGAGACATGGAGAGGATCAGCCATAGATGCAGGGAACAGGTAGCTGTTGACTTGGTTTCGCTCTTTGTGCTCCTCCAATCTCTACAAACACTTCTCCTTCCCTCAGGCTAAGTCCATTTGATAAGCAGTTTCTGAAGTGGTTCCAAATAATCCCCCTCTTTGGTATTTACATTCTGAGTAGCCCTTACCTCATGAGAGTAGACTGGTTCTAGGGACTTGGGTCAAATGAGTAGAATACACTGAAATTGTCTGTCACTTCTACAATTTGATTACAGAAGAAAGTGATTCCATCATGATGGTATCCTCTCACTTGTATGGCCGCTCTCATGAAGCGAGCTGCCATGTTGTGTTGCAAAGTGCTTGATGGAGAGGAGAGGTCCACATAATGACAACCAAAGGAGGGCTCTGACCAGCAGCCCATGAAGAACTGAGGCCTCAGTCCAGCAGCTGTAGGAAAAGAAATCTTGCTAGTTGTCGCAAGAATGAACATCAAAAGGATCTTTCCCTTTTGAGCCTGGGAACTAACAAATGCCTAAGCTCCTGACTAACAGAAAGTATGCGGTAATTTTTTTTTTTTTTTAAAGATATCAGGCTTTTCAAAGTACCAGACAAATAATAGAGCTAGATTCTGCCATTTGCCTGGCAAGCACAAGGTCTGGAATTTGATCCCAGTACCAAAAAAAAAAAAAAAAAAAAAAAAA